AAAAAAAAAAAAAGCTCGAGAATATATTTATTTTCCAAACTATTCTCCTCGACGTGAATTCGTTGAGAAAAAAAAAAGCTCGAGAATATACTTATTTTCTCCTTTCCAAACTATTCTTTTCGAGATGAATTCGTCGAGAAAAGAAAAAAAGCTCGAAAATATACTTATTTTCTCCTTTCCAAACTATTCTTCTCGAGGTGAATTCGTTCAGAAAAAAAAAAAGCTCGAGAATATACTTATTTTCCAAACTATTCTTCTCGAGATGAGGAAAAAAAAAAAGCTCGATAATATACTTATTTTTTCCTTTCCAAATTCGTTGAGAAAAGAAAAAGCAAGAAGAAGCGAATTTCTTTTCGTATGCGATTATCTTTTCGATGAAGATTTTCCAGCGATCCGTAAGAAATACGAGGGTTTCCGCGGCGCGAAGCTTTGGAAAGATCGGAGAATTTGCATTCTGGACGGAACGTTGGAGGCGTTCCAGTTATTACCTTAGAGCCGGGCTTTATCTGGCCGGCGGAGAGGATTTTACGAGCGTGGTCGCATTATCAAACGTCGTTGCACCGAGTAAAACGGTTTGCAAACGACGCTGCTTGTTACGCGGTCAATGTTATTAGTTCGCGGAATGCCACTAGCCACTAGCGTGACGCAAAGAGCGAGTAGCGAGGCAGGAGCAAATGTTAAACGAGCCAGCTATTTGTTTCCCGCTAACGAGCCACCGCTTCNTCGTTCCCCACGCGACCAATCGTCTCTGAATCTTTCTTTTTTTTTTTTTTTTCTTTTTTCTCTTTTCCACCGTCGATAGACGCGAATTAAAGTTTTAGACGCTTTAACCACCACGGAAGAAAAGTAAAATGATTTCAATCCCTTGGCTCGAGCTCGAAGGGAATCCACCCGCATCGAACGTCTCTTCGTCCTCTCTTCCTCCTGTGCACCCGGTGTACAGGTGGCCAACTCGAACCACCAACGTCCTCTCGATATCTTTCCAGCTGTTGGCTTCTCTTTAGATAGATCGATAGTCGCGGATCGGCGCTAATGATTCCACGGCTGGCTCCGATTTATGAAAGGTGTTGCCATTGAAAGATTGGTCAAACGGTTCGATACATTCAACGATTATTGTCCAGCTGGAAGCTGGAATTTTTCTCTTCTTCCAGCAACCGTTCGACGGCAGGGAGCGCTGGATAAATAATTACTTGGAGATTTAAATAAGAGCTTTATATTACGTTTATTTCGCGTTATTGGCGGCGTTGAAATACGATTGTCGACGAGAGGGATCGATTTGGAAGGAGAATACCGCGAGGGAAATTATTTCGTTTGAACGACAGAAAGACATTAGAGGTTTATTTCTCGGCTTTTTCCCGCTCGTTTCTTTTCTTTTTTTTTCGGGCTTAGATCGAGATATATTTTATCTCGATCGCTCTTATGCTGGAGTAAATATACAAAGAGAGAGAGAAACTTAAACAAGCTGTAAAAGAGCATCGTAAAATGCGGTAAAAATGTGTAAATGAGCGTGTAAAAAGTTGTAAGTTCATTTCTTCGATATTTTAAAATCGGACGGGGAGAAAGGCCGTTAAGCAGATAGGCTGAAAGAGAATCGTTGCTTTCCTTCCAGCGTCGAAATTATACTTTTTCATCGTTCCACGACTTAACCTATGCTAATTAACAGATCCAATGATGTCTATACGAAACCGCGTCTCCTCCGTTTATTTCGCAAGGGATGGTGGAGGAAGAGAGAGGAGTTGCGTCGCGTGGTCAAAGCGGAGAATTGACGTCTTATTAAGAGACGGATAAGATCGGCGAGTTGTGGTAGCGCGGACGAAGCAAAGGCGAAGGGCATCGGCCGTTATCATCGTGCGGCGGTCCCGGTGATTCAGCGAATTCCCACTTCCCCCCCCTCTCACCGCCAATCGATTACACGCCAATCGGAACGATGGATCGCGCTAACTAGATCGCGACGTCCTGAACACTCGGCTCGTCGTTGCCCGACTCTTAAATGAATTGTTTTGCGTCTCTGATCGAACGAAACAAATGTGTCGCGCTCGAAACGAAGCGATAAATCGTCCACTCGATGTGTAGAAATTCTTCTTGTATCCTCTCTTTCTTATACAATAATTAATAATCGTTTCCATAAAATCGTAAGCGATCGCCAAGTCGCTCGACGACAGGTTTCCATGAAGAAGGCTCCTCGCTCCATGAAAGGGCTCTCGTTCGAAAAGGGACAGCGATCTACGAGCCTTGTAAAATCCTTCCAACCGTTCCCTGCGTGACGTTAAGCACGACAGTCGGTTTTCTCGCATCTCTCGGGACGAGGCTTTATTTATCGGCCGATAGGAAAGTGCTTGTCGCCGCGGGACTTCGAGTCCTTTAACTTCGGTATAGAAGAATTTCGTGCAAACTTTAGTTAGTCGGGACGCCTAATTACGAAATATCGGTTTTTAACCCTTTGCACTCGTATATATATTCGATAAGGATACCAATCAACTCGGAATTTTTTTTCACAATCAATCAAAAGGAAAATATTTTTATGCGTACATAACATAAATTAAAATTTCCGGTTTAGTAGAAAAAATTAGCAAATAAACATATTTAATCCGCATCTCACACTCTTTTGAAATATGAAAATCTATATAATATGTTAGGGACATCATATTTCTTGAAAACACGATTTCAATTAATTGTAAATAAATTTAATTAAATGAATATTATGTAATATTATCTGGCTATAATTTGACCCCAAATAATGTAAGATGTCGCCTATATGGCGACATACGAGTGCAACGGTAAAATATATAACGTCGCCTATTTGGCGACATACGAGTGCAACGGTAAAATATATAACGTCGCCTATATGGCGACATACGAGTGCAAAGGGTTAAAAGCGATCCTGAGCGACGCGCAGGAAGGTAGGAGAGCGGAGAGGTTTCAGCCGCGGCCTCTGTCGTGTAAAGGGGGATAGGTTCGTATAGCTCCTTAAATCAACCCTAGTTGGCCTGTCAACCGAGTTGGCGCGCGCGCATTCCCTTTCGCGGCGCACAAATTACCACGCGTTTAATTACCGTCCGATATACGAAGCAGGCTCATTAATCACCACGCCGATAACCCGTAATTTTCCAGCAACGATAAAATCTGTCGCGCGACACCGCCTCTCGCGACTTTCCCCTCTCTCTCTCTCTCTCGTTCGAAGAGAAAGGAGAAGAGGAAGCAGGAGGACGGAGGAGGTGTGCAGAGAGGGATCGAAGAGGATCCTGTCGCCGCTTCCATATAGATTTTTTTTCTCCCTTCCGCTCCCTCTTCCCCAGTTCTCGGCGGAAAATAGAGCGCAACTCCCCTTTCGCAACTCGGAGGGCGAACAGCTGAGGCCGATCGATAGCCTGGAAAACGTTTGAACGGGGAGATTGGAGGGTTTCGAGAGAGAGAGGTGTTCCTCTTTGCTGCTTTCTAAGCCTCGACCGAGAGTTGCACGGATTTTTAACGCGTCCCCCTCCCGACAAAGTGTTCGCCCCCCCGTTTCCAGCTCCCTGCGCGTAGATGGCGACGATCGGCTTCTCTTCGGTAGCCCGTCTGGTTTTTTGGTAGCGGTTTGCCGGAGTAGCACCGGCCACCGAGCTGCCGAGCCTGCCCGCCTGCCCTAAGGCAGCTCTTTCCCTCCGAACGAGGAACGCTCTGGATCGACGATCGAGCGGTAGCGATGGCTTCGAACCGCTCTCGTTCCTTCTAAAACGGCGGTAAAGGATAGGGTATTCTCTATATTTTTTTCTTTCTTTTGAAATCGCGATTGGGCGTATATTTCGTAAAGGGGATTCGAGGGTCGAATTAAGAACGAGAGATAAACTACGTTAGAGATATGTATTACGTATCGGGAATTGCTTTTTCCCCCTTTCCTCTTCATATATTATTTTTTGACACGATATTGGATATTTTTAATACACCATGTGTAATCGCGTCGAAGTAGACGTGTCATCTATTATCGTGGAGAAAAGGAAATTTTCGAAATGTCGGATCGGAGCAAGTTTCGTGTAGAGAATTGGCGAGATGTTCGTAGCCATCGCGAGAACGGGGGAGCACCCGGTATATGGGCAGCAGGAGAGAAAGATCAAGCGCTCCACCCACGCCCACGTCTCAACCTGTTCTGTTTCTCCCGTGGAGCCGCGGTTACAGGTGCCTCCCCGAGGGCATTCCTGCTGGAATTCTTCACCGATGATCCCCTCTCCTCCTGCCTCTCCTGCGAATTCTCGTCGCGCGCAGTTGCGTCAAGGTTTTGCCCTTATCCTTCCAACTTACTTCTTACCTCAAAAACCTTCGCGCTCCGAAAGAAACGGGACGATTTCTCCCCCCCCTCTCTCTCTCTCTCTCTCTCTCTCTTCGTGGTAATTAGATCCCTTCCTCCTTAGAGATCGAGCGTTCTCGAGTTTCGGGAAATTCTTCACCGTTTCGTGCGTGCATCGTTGGACGCATCTCCTCGAAGGCATCTTTGCCAATCGTCGAGGGCTCCTTTTTCTTCTACCTCCTCCTCTTCGCGTGCTGCGACGGAGACGGGCAAAAGGAACGCGCAAAAGAGACTAGTAGAGGAGGGAGAGGAAGAAGGAGAGAAATAGAAAGAAATAGAAGACGAGAGGGAGAGGGGGATGGCAGCCACGCACGCCCACACCTCCTCCTCGTCGGGGACCTGTTCTCTCTGCTTTTACGTTCTGACATCTTTTCACTCCGTTTACGAGTCCCCTTTACGTTTTACGACCGATCATCGGGGGCCCTTTCTCTCGGCGAGATTCTACCGACCGGTAGAGATGTACCGGGCGAGGGAAACGAGAAGATGATCGCGGTGGTGGAAAGAGGAACGCCGAAAACGACGCCGTGGCTATCTACGAATCTGTTCGACACGTATGCATCCTGTGCACCGCTCTAATCCTCTCGATGGACTGCGTTACACGGTCGATTTTTCGGGGGTCGCGTTTCGTCGAAAGCTTTTAGCGACAACTTTGGAATAAACGGTTGAAATTCACCTGTTCAACGGTTCGCCGAATACCTTCGTTTTCCGAAACGCGTGTTCACGAAAACTTGCACTTGAGGAGAATATCGAGCGGAGGCGTTGAAAATTGAAGGCCATTCCGCTTGGACGCGTGTACTCGCAAGCGGTGCGAGTATCGCTGCGTAATCGAGCATTGGCGCGAGTTTGCCAGGCATTCGGGGCCAGGCCGCGCCAGGAAAGGATTCGAGAGGAGCACGGGAGCCGATTCGAAACCGAGCGCTGTACGCGTTGGAATGCGACGGAGGCTCGGATCGAGGTGGAAAGTGTTCGCCGGGACATCTGTGCCGCGGCCTCGCCTTCCGAGAACGCGAATTTCTATTCCCTGGATCGAGCTGGAAAATCGTGTTTTCAAGTCGGGTTTGTACATAGGGCGCCGCCGATGGTCAAAAGGATGCAAGAACGCGCGATCGTTAATTTTCGTTAATTTTCGGAACAACTGTTCGTTTCGCTTTTCGATGAATAAAATGGAAAAATAACTAAGAGAAACCGCCGCTTCTATAAACTGTCTGATCGAATACGTTTTTTCGTCTTCCGTTTCTTTCGCGCGTTCAAAGCTCAAAGTATAGATTTTCTAACATCGCCAACCGCGAAGATAAAACGCGTGGGATACGCCGAGGTATATTCCTTTCCTTTTTGCAGCGAGAACCAGTCATCCGGAAATTTATTTTACTTCTCCCCCCCCCCCCGCAATATCCTTCTCGTATAAACTTTGTCTAATTTTGGCGCGTTGCCAATAAACAATTCGAGTCGTGTCGCACTCGCACAATAATCCCTGCGTGGCGATCAATTATTCGGGGGGAGGGGGGAGCGCGCGGCAGGCGATATTACAAGTTTTATAGCGTCCTCGGACGGGTCGTGCAACTTCTCTCGGACGGAAAGGAAGTCTCCTACACCGAAAAAAAACGTGGGGGTTTGCCTCGATTCGTACGTACACGCGGTTGATTCATGCGCTCGCCGTGCCGCGCGCGGCATTTAAATTTCAAATAGTCCGCCGGATACACCGCTCTCCGGCGGTTGCGCGTGGTCCGTTTATGACAAAGTGCCGTTGTCGCGTCGAACAAGACGAGTCGTGCGCTCCGCTCCGCCTCGCCTTCCGTTAAAAGTAAGAAACTCGTAAGAGGAGAAAATTCGAAGGAGACGACGAGTTTTGGTCGAGCGAAGATCGATCGCGCTCGAGCTCGATCGTCGCTTTCCCCCCCCCCCACCTATCCCTAACCTATGGAGAGAATCGTCGGGTGGACGTCGGTGACGGTCGGTCGGGAGACGCGAGGCGCCATCTCGCGCGAGCCGGATCTATCCCGCGATCGTCTTATTTTCCTCCAATCCATAGCTACGATCCACGCTTCTCGATGACAGACGGCCAACCTGTACCAGCCGTATCTCGCCGGAGAAGAAGTGGGAACGCGTTAATCGTGATTTACTGGGAGCGCGAGACGGGCCTCGGTGGACGGTGGACGTCGGCCTCCGTCCCAAGTTGCGAGCACGATCCACGATCGCCTCTCATCGTTCGCCGTTACAAACCTCCGCTCTCTTCCTGTTTCCTCGTCGCGTCTCTTCTCCGCCGCGTGGACGAAGCGGTGAGCGAACGGAAACGAACGGAACGGCTTCCGCCCTCGACATCCCTCCTTCGTCGAGCGACGGTCGGGGGGCGAGGCGCGAAACGGATCGAGGGAATCGCGCGAAATCGAGCGCGATCGGCGAAAGGCGAGGGCGAGGCGGAGGCTGCGACGATTCGGCGACGAGCGTAACGGAGAGGAGGGATTATTAAGGACAGGGAGGAAAAGAGGAGTGGGAGTAAAAGCGGCGCGCGGTTTGGTTTGTGTTTCAGGACGAGGTGGGAGGCAGTACGGTGGTAGCCGAGGGTGTAGTAGGCGGCATAAAGGGCCCAGGCGGCGGGTGCCGCGCATCCTCGATGACGATGGCCGAGAGCGCCGTGGAGGACGCTGCAGCCGCGCCCCCGGGTCCGGCCAAGCCGCCACCGCCCTCCTGCACCAACAACAACACCCTCGCGGCCACGGCCAACCGGAACCATCGCAATCTCCGCCGCCGGAAGCGACTCGACCAGGTCCTCGACATCCTCCAACACCGGAGCTCGCCCTCGGAGGGCGAGGTGTTGAGGTTCGAGGGTAGCGGACCCGCGTCCGAGGAGGAGGAGGACGTGTTCGGCTCCCCGAGGTCGTCTTCCAGATCGGCCGCCGATCCGCCGTCCGGCATCAGTCTTCTGCCCCTCAGGTTGAAGAGCGAGGAGCCCGCCACGCCTACCGGCGTCGAGGAGCAAGAGGACGGGTCGAACGCGAACCAGTCGGCCACCATCGCCATCGCCGCAACCACCGCCATTATCGCCGCCGCCACCGCCACCACCACCACCACCACCAATAACAACAACAACAACAACAACAGCAGCAGCAGCAGCAGCAACAACAACAACAACAACGAGGACGAGGACGACGTCGACGACGACGAGAACGGCGACAACAACGGGGAAGAAACTCAGCAACAGCAGCAGCAACAGCAGCAACAGCAACAGAATCATCATTCGCATCACCACTCGCACCATCATCGTCACCGGCACAGGCATCATCACAGGAACAACGCCAACCACCTGGCTTACGATCACCTTCATCCCCCTCATCAAAGATCCTCGGCGCCGAAATACGCGGGCTGCACCTGCGTCCAGTGTTCCCAATCCTCCACTCCCCCCATGGTGCTGCCCTCGCCCACCTCCCCACCCCCCTCACCCCCCTCACCCCATTAACCCCGCTCACCCTGCCCCCGTTAACGCCAGGATCTCTCTCGTCGTACAGTTTCGAGCACTACATGCACACCAAGTACCTGCCGGATATATTCAGGGGCCGGAGCCACTCGGACTCGGACTTGGTGCCGGGATGGGACCAGAAGCCGCCGCTCTCCACCGCCTCGTCCGTGTTCGTCAACCATCCCTCGTTGAGAAGCGGTTTCTTGGAGAGCGACGCGACCAGCCCCCAGGAATCCCCGCTCGACCTCTCGATGAAGAACCTGATGGCGTCGGCGGCGGCGGCCGCGGCAGCCGCGGCGGCAGCCGCCGCGGCGGCGGCGGCCGCCTCCGGCCGACCGCCCGCCCTCCAGCTACTCCCGCCCGGCATCGTGTCGAGGGGCTCGGTGAGCGTGCCCGTGGTGAAGGGCGACGTGGCGTCGCCCACTACCAAGGAGAGCGTCGCTGTGAGATACAACCTCGAGGTGTCCCCCGTGGTCGAGGAGATGCCGCCCGGGGCGGACGTGGCGTACGTCTGCCCCGTGTGCGGCCAAATGTTCAGCCTGCACGATCGGTTGGCGAAGCACATGGCCTCGAGGCATCGCAGGCAAGGGCCGCAGGACGCGTCCGCCAAGGCCTACCTCTGCGACGTGTGCAAGAGGAGTTTCGCGAGGTCGGACATGCTCACCAGACACATGAGGCTGCACACGGGCGTGAAACCGTACACGTGCAAGGTTTGCGGCCAGGTATTCAGCAGGTCGGACCATCTGAGCACCCATCAGAGGACGCACACGGGCGAGAAGCCGTACAAGTGTCCCCAGTGCGCGTACGCGGCCTGCCGCCGGGACATGATCACCAGGCACTTGAGGACCCACGCCAGATTTCCCGACGTTCAGACGCCTAAGAGCGAGCCAGGCCTCCTCCCCGGCGAGGATAGCCCAACGTTCGCCCGGGAGATGGCCTCCCCTTCGGCAACGATCAAGGCCGAATGACGACGGCCAGGTGGATGACCGCCGCGCTTCTCGCCGCTGCTCGTTCCCACCGGATTTCGAGGAGCAGCACCAGGAAGAGGAGGAGGAGGAGGAGGAGGGCGATCGGCTTCGACGAACGGTTTCGGGATCTGGGAGGTGGAGGAGGTTGGAAGATTCCGATGACGACCACGAAGACGAGGGCGAAAACGCGAGGAGGACGATGGATGGAAGGGAAGATCGTTGGCGAGGAAATTTGGTATTTTTTTTTTTTTTTTCCTTTTTTTCGGTTTAAAATACGTTCAACGCCTCGTCGTCCTTCGCGTCGTCCAGCTTGAAAAACTTCGATTTCGATGTCGAGTATAACGCTCGTTTAACAGTATTACAGCGATGATACTTGTTCGTCTTCCCCCCCCCCCCCCCGTTGCTTCTCTCGCGGGACTCTTGTTTGCGAGATTCGTTCGTCGAAGATGCGATTTCGTTCGGCGAAACGTTTCCCTTTCGCGTCTCAATGAAGTTGAGAGTGATATATGATTCCACGGACTAATTGTTTCCCCCCTCCCTCCCTTTTAAGTCCCATAAATAATATCGTTTTAAGAGTTCTTTTTTCGTGAAAAAAAAAAAACAAAAACAAAAACAAAAACAAAAAAACGTCGCGATAACTTCGAAAGTTTTGCACGTAATGAAACGTTTTTCGAGAGGCGGATCGGATTTTGTTAAGGGGAAAAAAAAGAAAAGAAAAAAAAAAAAAAAACAATAGATACATCATCGATCGGCAAAAAGTAATTTTACGAATTTCTGAAAACGAAATTACTTATGGAACACATCTCGACATATCTCTTCTCTCGATAATCTCTCGTTTCACGCGAGTCTTATCGATTGTTGGAATCTCTTTCGAGTCACCCGTTCTCCGTTAAACGTTCGATACACCATTCACTCTCCCTCAATCGATACTCTCGCAAATGAAACGGGAATAATTTGAAAGCATTCCCGCCGCTGTTTGCGCGTTTCTTCAAGATTCACGATGATTGCGATGATTGCGACATGGTTGTTTAAAATTAGCGTGAATCGGAATTTTCTCTCGTTGAAAAGTGCGATCGAGACAGGAAAGAGAGAGAGAGAGAGAGAGAGAGAGAGAGAGAGAAAAGAAACTTGTGCCAAATTTTCACGATCGTTAAACCGTGTTCGCATATCGGTTACATATCGGTCGAGTTGAGCGCGTCGACGGGGAAGATCGTTGGCGACGCTCTTTCTCTTCGTAGGAGATCGCTACTGGTTGTTTTGTTTTTAATTAACGTGGTTATCTATCTATCTAGAAAAACTATGTTTCTATGTTTAAAGGAAAAGGAAAAAGATAAAAAAAAAAAAAAAAAAAAAATGATATTTATTCGCGTCGAAGACGATCTTCCTCGAATCCATTCGTTGTTTGCTCGACAACGAAAAATTGTCGTCAAATTGAGATATTGTTCATTGACATTGTATTGAAAAAGAAAAAAAAAAAAAAAAAAAAAAGAATGCTATCGAGCGTGCGATCGATAGAACTTTGTAGTTGTTATAACGACTTTTTTGAACAGGAGAGAGAAAGAGTGTGTTATTTTATTGCGCGTTGCGAATAAATCCTCTCGTCGTATTAATAGTATATATATATATGTATATATATATATATATATATTTATCGAAAAATCCGTTTGTTGCTCGCGTCGAAGATAGGAAAGCGGTCGAAGCGCGTTTTGTGACTGTGTCTCTCTCTCCCGGGAGAATTTCAAAATCTCGAGAAGAGGGACACGACGACGAGTTTCCTGCGCGTGAAGGGGAATTGAAAAAGATAAATAAAAGAAAGAGAATGAACATAACCGTACCTGCAGAAAGAAAGAAACTTAAAGCATAATAAAAGCGTTTAGATGTAACGTTAATTAGTGGGTAACGTTTAATATTATTATTGCGTTTTATTATTATTACTATTATTATTATTACTATTACTATTATGATTATTATTATTATTATGAATATTAATAATATTATTACCGATAATAATATCATTATTGTAAAAACTGTTTGGCGTGAGAATGTTGCGAAACGCGTGCGCGAAAAAAGATAGAAAAATATTTTTTTATATATCGTCGAAAAGAGAGGTTTGGCGAGAGGGTCCGAGATTGGGAAAAGAAGAAAAAAAATAAAAATAAAAATAAAAAATAAAAAATAAAAAAAAAAACGAGAAGCGAGCGCAGGACGCGAGTTGTCACACTTGGAAATTATTTCTCGTGTTGTATTCGAAAATTGTTACGAACGATAATCGAAAGGGGAGGTAGTTTCTCTTCCAAATCGTCTCTACGCTCTCTCGCGTAACACGACGATGTGAAACGCCCTCTAACCACCTCGCGTTTCGGTCACCCCCTGGTGGCCGATCCGTTAACTATAAGCTGCTATACTACGTTCCGACGAAGCGCGGGCCGATTTCGACCATTCGGGAATAACTCACGGTGCGGACGATCCCCCTCGAAAAAATACTCACGTTCTCGCGACCAATTGGATCAATTCGAATCGATCGCAGTGCCGTTTTCTCGACCGATGCTTCCAATTTATTATCCTTAACGGTACGATGTGAATTCGAACGAAAATTGTTATCTTTTTTTTTTTATCGAAGTTGAAGAATCGAGTTGTTAATATTATCCTTGTTTAGCGAGTAATACGAAGGAGAAGGAGGCCTGTCGATAAAACGGCGGCGACAGCGTGTCCACGACGTATCGTCCACGGAGAGAGAGAGAGACTACACGGTGGTGTCAGCTACTTTAACCTTGCTCAACCTCGTTCGTTCGCCTTCTTCCTTGCCATAACTCGGCCGCTGTCCGGTGTGTCTTCTCCGTTCGTGGCCACGATAAAACAGGTGGTGACGAATATCGCGAGTCACGCACGATGCTCATCCGTTAATTAATACAGGTGCGCGCGCACACGTTGTATCGTTATATCGATATATATATATATATGTATATATATGTATATATGTATATGTATATTATATATATTGTACATTCGCATTCGAAAGAGAGCGCACTTGTACACCTACGTAATAAACGCGTTGTACGGGAAATGCACGCAAATGTGTATGCGCAAAGTTTTGAAAGGAGCGCGCGCGCGCGCACGCAGACAGGTATGTATATCTGTATTTTTGTATACCGAGGTTTTTTCTAATTAGTCTTACCGTTTTAAGCGTTTCGAGGAAGAACGTGTAATTAGCCGTTAAGAGAAAACTGTCGCTCTCTGCTTGCCATTTTAACACTTGCCTTTGTCGATCGAACGATTACTCGGAAGGCGGCTTGTCGGAGCGAGACAAGAGAAGGATATAGATAAGAGAGGGAGAGACCTCGAGGCGGAAGGTCTTATTGTTTGTTCCTGAATCGAACGAAATTGTTGAAAATTTATGAAAATATTTTTCGAAATCGTGTGTGTGTCTTTTTTTTTCTTTTTTTGCGAGAAATTGCAGTTTATTTTCATTTCTTTTCTTTTTTTTTTTTTTTTTTTTTTTTTTCTTTCTTTCTTGGAACATTCTTGTCGTCTTTTACTTTGATCATTATATATTTTTCTTCTTTCTCGTTTGAACGAAAATTTTCTTCTTTAATCGCAAAGGATAAATTTGATTAATTTACAAGTTGAAGAACGATTTGATTTATTATTTCTTTATTATATTATATCGAGATATCCGTCTCGATATCCAACCCTCGCGTGATTCAGCCTTAAAACTGAGAGAATCTCTCGTGCAACGAGTCCTTTTTCGCTTGATGAGATGGGAACGAAACGAAATAAAAAGGGACGTAATTGTATAATAAAAGAAGAAAGAAAAGAATAATGCACACGTTCTTTGTGTCTTCAGGCAATTAAGCGATCGCCGTGCCAGACAACCTGTTCTTGTAATTATTAACACTCATTTAGCCATTCGTACGATTATTTCTATTATTATTATTATTATTATTATTATTATTATTATTATTATTATTATTATTATTAATTATTATTATTATTAATTATTATTATTATTATTATATTATGCCTAGTTACGTTGTTAAGTGATTAATCATGTTTAATGCTTCTATTATTTATTTTGTTATCCTATTCGCAAGTCAAGCTTCCTATTTTTCGTCCTATTCTTCTTACATTCTCCCTTTCCCTTCCCCCTTGTTCCTCGTTTCATCGAAAAATTCCGCCCTATCTCGTCGACCAGGGAGAGATGGAGAAGAAAGCTCCGTTCGAGACGAACTTTGAAATTCGAATCAATAAGTCCGCATTTATAAAAGTTTCTCGAGCTTCTTCTTCGCCCTCCTCCTCCGCATCATTTTCTCCCGTGTATCGTTTTGGAAAGGGGAAAATGAAAACGAGGGACGACGAATATGTACGGCATTATCCGCGGATGATTCTCTTCTCGTTCCGTGACGTTCTGTTCACGTTTTTTTTTTTTTTTTTTTGTATAACGACGAACAAGTAAAGATCCTATAAAAAAAAAAGAAAAGAAAAAAGAAACAAAATATATATATATATATTTATATATATATATATAAATGCTCACGAGGGTTTCTGTAAATTATTGATGATGACGATTGTGTATGTTAATTTATAAATTATGTTGTGTTTACCAATCGTGCCAGAATGGAAAAAAAAAAAAATATAATTTTTCAACGAATCTATCACGCGCATTTTTCATTTTTGATCCTTACTATCCCTACTCGTACATATTCATTCGTTCGTTCACTCATTCGTTTATTTATTTATTTATATATCTATCTACCTCTTTATCTCGTCACGATCATTTTCACTTTTGATTTTCTTTCCTTTCCACGATGCTCTCGATCGTTTATTTCGTATCCACGGATTTTCAACTCGATTCTGTAAGACTGTTGTGAGAACGGTGCCGTGCCTTCGCCAGTGTAGCGTTTGAAGGAGCCTCGAGCCTCGTCGAATTAGAGTACATATCGCCAAGATAAACGCGCGAAAAGAACGAATATTTTTTCATAATCGGTGACAAACGCACCAACTTTCCCGCGCGAAACGCCAATACTTGCGCGGCAAAACTTGTGGTACACTGTTCGCGCACGAATCGCGAACAATGCGATTTGAAAAATGTTGAGAAACGACGTTTGTATTTGTACGGATTAAGCGTGAAAAAGAAAAAAAAAAAATTGTGTGGAATTTGCTCTTTGCTCGAAATACAATTCCACCACAGCATATTCGAATTCGAAGATAGTTCGAATTATTCAATTATTTGCGAAAGATGAGATGCGCAGCCGAGAAAAGAAGAGATCTCGTCGACTCGATTGTCTTTTTTCACGGCCTTTTTTTTCAAGAGGAAAGGGCTCGAACGGATTTTGCGATGTGTTCCCTTTGTACCCGTTTCTACGAGTGATGATCCTCAATATCTGTACATCGAACGATGAAAATTGAACTTCTGTATGTTGCTGCACACTTACGATGGAAATATATATACACGTTAATTGTTTCTACATCGCTTGTGATTTCTCGATCGAAAACTAAACTTCGTTACAGCTTCGTTACGTAGAACGCAGATATTTGAGGTCGCCATTTTCTTCCTTATCGCGATACAACATATTTAACAGATATTTATTAACGAATGAATAACATTTCCGTAACCAATTATAGAATGGGAATATTATGATCATACGTAGATATTCGTGAGATATATATATATATATAGAATAGATCTTCAGGAAGGAATGTTTATCGTTACTCGTCCTTTTATATATATATATATATGTGTGTATATAGCGCTATTCGATATTTTACACCATCTATATAACCATATAATCTTTAACACTACCAAACGTAGGTAAGTAATATTGATGTTCAGATAAAAGGAACGAATACTTTTAATTAGATTTGATTAGATGCTATATAAATAAATTCCTAGATAAAACGGATCTTTATCGACGAGGTTAGATTAAATTAAAGTCGCAAATTATCAATTAATATATATATATATATATATCAGTGAAACTAGATTCGTGCGTGAATAATATCGTTGAAAGATATATTAAAAAAACGTATGTTTATCCCTCGACGATTGTTTACATTCACACATACCTAACCAAATCGTGAAGAGAAATTTTATTTTCGCAACGACGATATCGGA